ACATTGTGTTTGCGGACTTTTTGTTGCTGGGGGGAGTTAATTGGTGGAAACACACAGTTGTGCACAGTTTGACAGTTGTTGATGAAGGAACTACATTAATATGTAAATAGCACTGTCTGTTTCACCTGGACTTTAAAGATCACAGTTTCTGATTTCAAATGACTCAGTCTAGTCACCAAGTTACTGTAACTGAAATCCAACATTTTAATCTCCAGTATAATTTCAATGAAATCAGGATGGATGAAGCAGCTTGTTTTTATTGTTTGTTTCCAGCATCATACATTAAGACTGAATGTTGTTTCAATTTTAGCTTAAACCAAAACATTGCTTGCCTAGAGATACAATTTGACAAAATGTTAAGCAACATGTTGCCCAAGTGTTTAGATAAGTTTCCATATTTATCATATGACAGCATTAAACATCTTGCAGACAGTATGATGTGTGCATATGCTGTGAGCTCAGCAAAGATAGAAAAGATCACAGGAAACCCAATTAATAGGGAACAAAGTCCCCTGTATTTTATGATGGATGAAGAGTGACAGACATTTTAACGCAGCGTCAAACGACTGACAGGAAGCAATCATTAATAGGCAGGACAAATCATAGGCTCTGATGAATACAATCTTCAAGCTGAATTACACACAGTGTCTTCTGCATTAAACAGTGCTGAATGAAGCTGACACCAGTCAGTGAGAACATGTAGTCTAATCAAACAGGCACATTTCAGGTAAGACTTCAAAATCAACTAAAACTATAAAATTAGTGTGTAAACATGATCTTTTTTAAACAACTGAACATTTCTCTGTGTTATTGAATTGTTTCAATCAGCTTATTTTCATGTTCCAGTTGTATCCATACACACTTGGTTAATATCCATATAATATGTAAGAAAATGTATATCACTCAAATGACACTGATTCAAGAAACATCTTAAAACACATGACATATTTTACGATAAGTTTCAAGTCATGTGTTTTTATTTAGTCTAGTTTTTCATTTTGCACCAGCATCTACAATAGACACAATACACACACAAATGCAGCAGCTCAGTACATTTACTCAAGCAATGTAGCTACTTTATATGTCTACTCCACACATTTCAGTGAGACTATTAGTTACAGTATAGTCACTTGTTTCTTTGTAGATTATGATTTTACCTCCATAACATTTAAATTTATCAATTGAATCACCCAGTACATATACATAAATTAACACAAGCTCCATCTTGACCAGCTACATTATTAAAATGTTTTTTACGTGTTAATGCACCAAAATGAATAATAATCCATTAATATTATATGTAATATTATCACTCTTAAAGAAGCCAACTTCTGTAGTACTTATTTTTACGTTTGATACTTCAAGTACATTTAGCTGATTTTCACTTAAGTACAGTTTTCATTGCAGGACTTGTAATGAAGTATTTAAATTGTGGAATTGCTACTTTTATGTAAGTAAAGGATCTGAGTACCTCTTCCACTACACTATTGTATAACACATAGAAATGCTCATAAAACATTAGGAACTTAACTTCCCCATCCTTCCTCATCAAACCCACCACCCAGTTCATCCCCAAAAATACCCTAATCCATCCCAGTCCATTCTTACTAGATGCTGCTGGGGTGTTTTTTTAAGCGTACAATACAATTTAAAGTATTCACTTATTTCCCAGGGGTGTCTGTTTTTGAAGAACAAGAGTTATTTCTTTGGCATGTCAGCACTGCAAGCTGTGCACCTGGGTGTGTGCCACTTGTGCTGCAATCAACCTGGACAGACTACACCATGATCAAATCCTTTAGGACAGCAGGAGAGTTTCTTTTGCAGAATGTGAATGTGCTGATTTAGCTGACAAGCAAAAAAAGGTGAAGTGCAGTGAAATGAAACACCTCCGAGGTGGAATTTTTACAATCAAATTAAATTGGGAACTTATGCAAGTGACATTGTCAACACAATACACTAAGGGACGGCTCTGGGAATGAACACAGAAAGATCTGACAATGCACAGCGTATGTTTCAATATCTGTTTCCCCTTCAGTCAGTGTATAGGACTGAGATACAAGAGTCAGCGTTATTCTACTGGCATTAGTTTTGCTATGAGGTGCAAGCTGTTCCAATAAAATGGCTTCCCGCTGTGCTGGAAAAACCTGCCGTCTTTTGTTCTCAGCTGTTTCTACCTGCTCATATTCCCTTTTTAATATCTTTGGTATTTTCCATCCATCATCAAAATAGGCTTTAAGCTTGCTACAGGCTCCATCACGGCACCATTATTTGTATCTCTCTTTTGTCTGCTTATCTTGATCCCATACAGTTTCTTCCTTCTTTCTTCCCTATCCTCCTCACGCTTTGTTATCCGTCATTGGCTGGCACTTTGCCAATCAGTGATGCATATCAGCTTGCTTTTACTGTTAATGAAATACATCCCTATTTCTCTCTTTCTCCAAGTCCCTGAATTCCACTCTCCATTTTATGATTCACAGCATTCCTCAATCTTTCAACATCATCATTTACTCTTCCTGTCTCTGCTCTGCACTCTGGGAATTTCTTAATGAATGCCTGACCTATGACTGATGAGCACACCTCTGTTCATATCAACCAGTCAGTGGATCCGAGTCAGCCCAGAAAATGAAGCACCAGTCAAAGCATTCGATGTTAATGCTGAAGATTTTTTTTTTTATTTAAAACTATAAATAATTGTATTTGTAGTGTAGAAATTCAGTTTATATTGTTAAGACTCTAACCCGTAGAAGTCCTTACATATATAGAGGATGTTGACAGCAGTAATTGAAGAGCAGAGTGTCCAAGATCATATCTGGCCTGGATGCGCTGCCCATGCCCTTGACTGGTTAATGAGGAGGAAATACTGCTAACAGCCTCGCTAATCAACTCCTGCAAGAGCTCTGGGACGAAGAATGAATGCTTTGGGAATGTAACATGCATTCCTAGTATGTGGTGATGTAGCAATGTGAGCAGCACATACACACAGCAGTGAGAAATAATAGATAAGGCATATGTACTATGTAAGCATTTTATTTTGATTTTTACATTTTTACCAGTCAAATGTGATGTGAATTCAATTAATTGAAGGAATATCTAAAGCAAATACTGCGTGTGTGTCCCTTTAATCCATGTGTATTCTATGTTCATATACACACAGCGTTATTATTATAACTGCATGGTAACTAGCACTGACCGAACACATTTTTTCCACACTGTGATCACAAATCACAGTCTGTGTCTTGTTCTCATTGCAATGTGATTGTGTTCACTGCACACAGTCTGCTATTTTGCTGTCAAGTTTATGACCTCTGAGCAAGCACTGTAATACGCTTGCTCCAATCTGAAATATGTGGCTGATCACCTGTCACAAACATCATCATCAGTTGCTTCAGGCTCATCTTCATTTTCAAAGTTACTATCATCAAAACCCACCCGAGGCTCAAGTGATCATCCGCTGATCCACATGTTGAAAATGTCTTCTAATGATCAAGGCCAGGTAGCCCACCGGCATCGTTCATCAGGAACATTTTAAAGTACTTTGAATAAATGTGCCATGCAATCCATTTACTGACATCAAAGAACGTAATGAACTTACTTGACACATTAGTATCAGTGATACAAAATATGAACACAACAATACTGGCTATTTCCTGACACCCTCCTTAAAAAATGCTCATTCATATACCACAGAGAAAAACATAATAAAAAGAAAAAACCAGTGAGGCTACTTTTTGACTTTTGAAACCAGAAAAGTGCTAAAAACAAATAGTTTGAGGAATAGAAAAAACTTGTCTCTAAAGACCCAAAATATGGGTTCATATGCATACATACAGTCTGTATCTTCATGTTTGTATTGTGTTTTACTTACTTAAATATTTATTTCTTCTCAAGTAACAGAGCACTAACAAGGGGATGTTGATGTGTTTTATTTAAATAAAATTAAGAAACTGATCAACTATCAATTCTGCAGTGGTTGCTAATTTTAATGTTAAGGGACCCTATGACTCAATGTCAAACCAGCTTCCCACTCACTATTTAGAACAATGCCGGTACAATGCGGCAAATGCTGGAGGGAGCAAATGAAGGTGTGTGTTAATAAGTAGCTCAGTGTGTGTGTTGTGTTTGTGCAATTGTTTGTGTGTGCACAGGGAAGTGGAATACTTTGGTCACTAAAACAATCCACGCTAATGGAAAAGCTGCTCCTCTGAATAAATGAGACTCCGTGCAGTGTACTATTCTAATCCCGAGCGCCTGAGGGACTTTGCTCCAACATAAAACAACGCAGAGCAAAAGAAACTCTTGATATCTAAATGTTCACAGCAACTGCTTGTTAGTTTGTTTATTTTTTGCCGTCACGTTTTGCCAAGCACACTGATCTCTGCGGATGCGGAGGGAGGAAAGTCGTGCTGCATGGCTTAATCATCATCTCAATGCTTCTTACGGGCAGCTTTACATTAAACTGTTTATCCCCGCTTGTCACATGAAGAAGGTGGACAAGTGCAGGCAATCTGTTGTGTCATTATTGATCGGGGATGAGGAGATGAGCAGGATATACGCAGTGTGTGAGAGTGTGTGCTTGCAAGTGTGTACTACTCACTAGTCATTTGATAGATTATAGCTGCACTGTATAGGCAATAATCAGGGTGCTTATGTGTGAGTTTTCCTGTGTGTATGTGCTCATGTGGAAATGCTGAAGTGTCCCTGTGCAAACATGTGTGTGTGTGTGTGTGTGTGTGTGTGTGTGTGTGTGTGTGTGTGGGTGTGCAAGATAAGTTTCCAGGTTAACAAAAGAATGATTGAGAGCAGCAGCATAAGACCCAGAGGTTACAAACCATTTCAAATTCAGACATAACACAGCCCTGTTGGATTGTAGAAAGGACTGTATGTGATTGGAAAAAGGAAGAAAAGAAGGCACTTGAGATAATAGAAAAATCAGACAGAGAACTCAGAAGAGATATAAAAGTATATGTCATATAATCAAAATCTAATTCTGTGCATTCCAGGTCTGAGCGTGAGCGAGGACCCTCCTCTTCACAGAGTGACCACCGGCCCTCCATCAACAGATCACCAGAGAGGGGCACCATGTCGCAGCAACAGCCTCCAGCCCCCCTCTACCCCAGCCCTGCCCCGGCGCTACCTGCCTGCCCAGCCAAGAAGCTCCCCTGGAGGTCAGTCGAGGTTTTAGTAGGAGAACAGGAGCATGATTTTTGCTTCAACTTAATAGACAGAGATACAAAAAAAACCTGACAGTATCAGGTGGTTTAAAAGCAGAGGAATATTCAGCTAAATGTCAGTAAAGAACAGGCTTTATAGTCAGTACTTGGGAATCATAGAGCAAGAGCTTATGTTCTATATACTTCGCACAAATGTTAAATATTTATATAGCAAGACATCAGTGGTATAAGAGTCACACAGTCTTCTCCTTGGAATAATTCAATGCTGTCAAACTCTAAACTTTTATTTAAAAGGATTTCCCCTGCCTCCATATACAGTGTAGGAACTATCTAAGCACAACCACCTCCTTCAAGGGTTGTTGAGAGACATTTTGGGAAATGCCTGAAGCCAATAAAGTAACACTTGGCCACCTCACTTCTAATTACAAAATCATTCACATAATGTATTAGGCTGTGTTAGGGATATCCAAGAGTGGACCTGCCTTTGAAGCGTTCGTTTCAACCATTTATTCCAGTGTACTTCTGTTCATGTTAAAATACCGCAATCAAAGGGCTTAAAATACCCTTTCACCCCCTTAATGTACCATAAAACACAAACACCACACATTTAGCATGTTCTTCACAGTCTACCGTTAATAAATTTTTATGAACCTGTCCTGGTTGACTGTGCCGATACAGTCTGTTCAGAAGCAAGGAAGCGCACCGGCAGCGATACTTTTCACACACCGTTGTGTTTTTCACACGTAGAAATTAACACCAGAAGCCCTGTAGTATCACACTTCTCTCACTCACACTTACTGAATGTCTTTAAACTTTTACAGTGGCTGATCCATCTTTGCTGTGTAACCCGAATATCTAAAAACACACACACAACATATCTGGGCAAAAGGCATTTTAGACAGCAAAACAATGTAGACATGAACTGTTGTATCGTTGCCTACAGTTTTTTTCCCCCACAGCCAGGGTTTGTATGCAGACAGTGTAGTGGCTGTGTGTCTCTCACCCTGTGTTTCTGTTGCCCTGAGCTGATTTTAAATGTGCTGTAAATTATTGATGAAGAAGTTCCTGAGGGGTCCCTGTCAACCTGCAAGTCATACACAGACACCACTTTTTATCTGTGTAGTGTATTCAAGTTTTGTCTGTCTCAATACAGTACTCACACATTTTGTTAGACACACACTCACACACACTCACACGCACGCACACACACACACACACACACACACACACATCTTACCAGCCCCTGAAAGTTTCAGACAGAAACCTTTGGGCATAATGCTCAGATTCAATGACAATGCAAACATGCTGACATTCCTGATAGTTACACAATCATAACAACTTTTTCATTTCATGAGAAATTAATTCTGGAATCCACAACGTTTATGTGCTTGCCAGATAAAAAGAAAAAATCTGTGATTGCGTTAGCCTTTTCACATAAAATGTAGGATAGTTTAGCTTAAAACGGTGCTTCTGCAGCTTTTTCCTTAAGGGGCCCCTTTCCTATAATTTAGTAAACCAGTGACCCCTGCGTAGGTGACATACTTTATGGATATCCCATATTGTATTAAAAACTGTACAATTAACCTAAATAGAGAACTCAGTAACTGCAAGATGTTCGTGTATAGGAGAAATTTGCATACATTTCGAGCATTTTATTTTCTGTTTAGGGAGCAATTCTCTGTCTGTATTATCTTTTATAATTTTTAACAATCACACATACTTACTAGGCTCCTTTCTTGACAAATTCAGCTTTCTTGTTTTTGACGCTTGATCATTGTTCTATCACTGTTCTATCAGACAATTTACGATTTAAGATATAGGCCTGCTGTGTATACTTTTCAAGCTTTGGGGACCCCCAATGAGGAACCTGACCCCCAGGTTGAGAACCACTGCCTTAAAGGGACATTGTGCAGGAATTTCTCCCATCTAGCAGTGAAATTGTATTTTGCATTCAAGCGAATAGTGCTCTCTACTGCCTTGCGTTTTCAAATCCCTTTTTCGCTTTTTTGGCGTTGAGGATTCCTTCTCCTGTGGCTCGACACAAGTATGATCCTCCATTATTAACTAAAGTGCAGTGCAGACTTTCAAATGTGCCAGGGCAGTGACAAGCGCCTCTCACTGATCTCCTTCTCCGTTATAGCTGGTTTCAGTCACGTGACGCTGGCTCTGAACGAAAACATGTTGTGGATTAGCTAGACAGGTAGGCTAGTGCATTATGTCCCTCTCGGCGATTATAGTTTTTCAAAATGGCGGAACGACATGGAAGCCTCCATGGACTTGCCCGTCCAATGTATATACAGATAAGAAATTCTTCGCTTACGAGGATAAGTCAGATCATTGGCAGAGGTAATTTTACACCAATGAGGACACATTTATGAATGAAGACATTGATTTTAGCTAATAAAATACTTAAAACACTACACAATGTCCCTTTAAAAGCACAATCCATGATCCAAATATAAACTCAAGAAGTGGCCTCAAAATTAAAAAAAAATATTATTTGAACTTACTATCACTCTCAAATTGAGAGTCTTTGAATACAGGGATTAAACGTGCTCTGGCAGTGTTGGTCTCTCCGTTGGTCGGTCAGCCTACTACTCTTGGGTGACATGTCTTTACAACTGTTAGATGAATTACCACCAAATTGTGTACTTGGCATTCAGCCTCAGCTGTAAAATAGCAAATCTTTATGCATGCTTTATTCTACTCTTGCTTCCAGCTACCTCTGTATTGAACACAGAGAGAACATTTATATTGATGTTCTCACCTAACCCCTGTTAAGAATATTTATGAAATTGTTACTGTAAATTCAAGTTCATGGCAGTAACACTGGTTTTAGTAAAAGTACAGTGGCACAGCAGCTGTGTGTGTTTGTGTACGTGTTTGTGTGAGTCTGGGGTTCACTTGGCGTTAATGAGGCACACTGAGAGCCACGTTTGCATGACCACAACCATACACACACACACACACACACACACACACACACACACACACACACACACACACACACACACACACACACACACATACACACACACACACACATTGTCTCTGCAGACCTGAAGTATCTCTCCAGGGTTATTTGGGGGATTTGTTCAGGATCAGAGGCTTCCCTCCCATTACAGGTCTAATTAGTTTCTTTTCAAGGCCTCTCTCCTTCTCTCCTCTCTGCTTCACAATAAATTCCCTGCTAACCTCCTGAAACCTACTTTCTTATTCACTATCATCTGTTTTTTTTACCACCTCCCCACTTTAACCATTCTGAGCTCCCTGGATGAAGCATCTCACATTCACTGTTTCAATTCCAGCTGCTTTCCTTGCTCCCACATTAACCTCACACACTACACGACAAGAGTTCCTGATTGCTGTCTGTCTTGGCTGCAAAAGTGTGTAATGTCACCGAGAGCGGGGAAGTGATGGGCACATCTCTCCCAGTATGCTCTGCTTCACTTTGACCCAGAGTCCCATGGGACATAGTTATACTGCGCAGTGGGAGGTGGGTGGAAGATGAAAGCAGGAGGGTAACAGCAAGATTGAAAAAAGTTAGGAGAGGAGAAAAATCAGCAAAGAAATGGAAAAAAGCAAAAGGGGAGGGAGAGACAGAGGAGTCAACATTGAAGGATGGTTGGTTTGATGCCTGTGTGTGTGTGTGTGTGTGTGTGTGTGTGTGGGTGTGTGAAGTCTGATTGACGTAATACTTCAGGTAGCTTTTCAGCATATTACTGCTTTGTCATCTATTATCTGAATGTCATTGTGTGTTTTTTTGTTCAAAGTAAGCAAAATAACACTTCACTGATCGGTTTCTCCTTGTTGATTGACAGTTGGCAGGAAGGAGTTTCAGCGGAGTTCAGAGGTCACACGTTCTCTCCCGTCCTCCCCAAAGAGGCTGGCGGTGGTTCCTCCCAAACCTCAGTCCCCAGGTGAGTCTTACAAAAACACAGCATACAAAATGCACATACGCAAAGTTACCGACAGCCGTCTTTAACCTCCTGCACCCAATGACAATGCAAAGTTCTTTTCAACTTTTTCACAGCAGACATTTTGACTTGTGTGACTAATAACATTAATTAAGACCCCATTCTAACTAACTGTCTCTATATGTGAGTGAGCCATCCTGCACAAATACCCTGAACTGTCTTCTGTAAAAGCAGCGATTTTTGATTTTCACAGCGGATATTTGACTCATTAAAAGCATGCACAATAGGCCTTTTCACTGCAGACATTTTGACTTGTCATAGCAGGAAAATCACAGGTGCAATTAATGACATAAATTATGGCTGCAGTCTAGACACTGAATTCTACTGAATAGAATGGTGTCACCATTAATGTCACCTTCCCAAACCTTTTCCAGAAATAGTCCTCATATTTATGACCTCTTCTGTAATCCACTCATCGAAAGAAGCAGCTTGCATCCATTTCAAATATCGAGGGCTGGTCATACACTGCTTCAAAGAGAGACTCAAGGTGCTTTCTTCTATGTTGTGATTCAATCCATACAGTCTGGGCATTTCTTTCTCTTGGCTCTGCAGAGGTACAACATGTTTCCTACAGGATTGCAGAAGGCCTCATCTTTCCTTGCAGAGTTGACACATATCTCCTCAGGCTACACCTCTCTCTGTGCTCACTTGACTATTTTTCAGTAAAAATGCTGCTGATATTGTTCATCCTTCTCTTTACTGCATCTTTTGCTGGACCTTGCCTCCTCCCACACAGTCGCAAAATAAGAACATTTCCTTTTCATTCTCTCTGATTCTCAGCATTTTAGCTTTTCTGTTGTTTACAGATATTATCAGTTTGTTGCTCCTCCTGAAAATCTTCTGGACTGTGCCATAAAAATGTCAAATGGAAATGAAATAAATAACCCAGCCTCACCACCTTTAACCACACCCTAGCAAGAACAGACACACACACACACACACACACACACACACACACACTAGTCTCTGCATCCCACACGGTCTGCCATTACCTTCTCTCATTGTTTTTCACATTATTATTCCTCCTCCATAAACCCCACTGCTATCATCTGCATGCTGCCTTCACACTCAGTCACATAAACTCATTTGGTATTCATTCAACTCTCCCTAACCTTTCAGGTAGAGCCTACAGAAGTATGTGTGTGTGTGTGTGTGTGTGTATGTGTGTGTGTGTTTGTGTGTGCGCGTGTGCGTGCAAAAGACATAATTTACATAAGACTTCTAGTCGTCTTCAAAGACGGGGAATCCTAATGTGCCTTCAAGGTAAAGACACTGATGAAGATGTAATATTGAAACATTTGCTGATATGTGCAGTTTTCACATTTTTAGAAGAAAGGCCCGGATTATTAGATGCCATGAATATACAGCTCCCTATTTTTTAAAAATATGTTTATGTTTAGCTCTTACATTCCCCGATTTCAGGTTTTATTTGCACACATACACTGGCAAGTATATATTTTCTCTAAATTGGCCTTAAACATCTATCACCATAACAATCATTCAACGCCTTCAGTTACCCCTCTCTTACTGAATTCTTTGTCCTTCCACTCTCTTCTCTCCTTTACCCGTGGCCCAGAGTGCTCCCCTTATTTTATTCCCCCACCTCCCTCTAACCGATCTTTCACTCATTACCTGGGACCCTGCACCCCAAGCCCAGCCACACGTTGTCATGGAGACCACTCCTCACGCTTCAGTAGGCCTGAATGATATGGTTGAGGCAGGTAATGTGGAGCTGCAGTGATTTTGTGTGTGTGTTCGTGTGTGTGTACACATTAAGTGTGTGTGAACACACAGAATGTACATTTTAAAAGAATTTAAAAGAATTTAAAAGAATTTATCTGAGTAATGCTCTGTTCTGATGCTGTGTGTCTCCACAGGCTTGTATGTGACATCACAAGGTGACTCACACAGAGGCTAATATGACTGCCTGTATGTCAAGTGCTTAATGGTTGTGCCCCCCCCCCCAGCCGGAAAATGGCTGTCACATGTTCGTCTGGCCTTTAAATTGCCTTTATCATTAATAGAGCCTTTACCTTACAATACAAGTACAACAAATAATATACTCATATAAATATAATGTAACAGTGTACTTATGTTATTGCATGTTGCAGCTCAATCATGTCTTGATACTGATCACTTTCATCATAAGATTAGACGGTCCATCATGAGGAACACCAGACTGGGAATTACCCCAAGGCTTCCTCTGTAGAAAAGATTCAATTAACTTACTATCATTTATCATGTGAACACAGTCATTAGCAATAGGTCAGGTCAAATCTCCTCTGATTTAATACTCATCAATTCCAATATTATAGACAGATATGTCCTGGTTAGATTTAAGATTAGTACATGACTCCTTAATGCCATATTGAAGATACTGTATATATAATTTCAATATTTTTCTATATTATATGTATTTATAGTCGTTTTCAGAAAGAACACATGCTCATGCAAAGTAATTTCAATTAATTTTCTATATTTGTTTTTTTTTCCCTCCCTGCAGTCCAGAGTGGGCAGCGGCCCGCAGCAGCAGTGCGAGGGTCAGCTCCCCCGGGGTCCCCTCGCCGTGTGGCCCCCCTGAGGCTGCAGCAGGAACAGCAGGAGAGCCTGCAGAGAGAGAAAGAGGAGTCTCAACAGAAAGACAGAGAAAGGAAAGCAGAGGAAACAGAAAAAGAAGAGCAAAGGGAGGAGGTGAGTTTTTGGGAAAATCTGTAGCACCACTTTGGGTCTGCATTATTCTATTGTTTGGGGTTTTTTTTCAATTCTATTTCATTCTTTTGTCACTTAGGTTCAGAGGCTGCAGGGACGATGTGAGCAGCAAGAGAGGCAGCTGAAAGCCCTAAGAGATGAACTGAGGAAGACTTCCTTGGGTCTGGAAGCCTTCATTATCACTACTCAGCATTACTGCCTCAAGGTAGCCCGCTTGAATATACAATCCATACAATAATAATATTAATAGTCTTACCCCATAATAATTCTGTCTTGCATTACAGGACAGGCTTATACAGAGCTTTAGTGTTATCATTTTCATCATCATGTCTATATCCCCCACAATCCCACATCTGAATAACTTGAGATGGTCTAAAGGTTAATCTATGCTCTTGTGTAGATAAACACGATGCCTCAACCTTTAATTCACTCCGAGCCAGGGTTGAGAAAACCACATGCTCACACACGTGAAATCAAGAACACATACAATATTCAACACCATGAGGTGAGATTCACAGCATGGTCCATGAACAGCGCGATGAGGAAGAGTGATTGCGACTGTGGGAAGGGTCCTGCAGAGTTCAGTGTGCCATTGAGCTGGTTTCATCCTGCTGTCTGTGTGTCTGATGGAATGATTTAGCCTCCAAGGTGCTATAGCTGTAATACTGCTGTCAGGTTGTTGAGAGACTGTCTGACTTCTTTATGGTCACTGGGTGCTGCAGTCACTGGTCCACAGTGCTGATATACAGCAGAAGACAGGAACAGTTAAAGTGTGGGCCTATTTGAGTAGGTTTGAGCTCCCTCTGCTGGCATCAGTAAACACAACAGCTACAATATGGTTCAAGCATGTGTGTGATTTGAATCTGAAAATGTTGTTTATTTCCTAAATTTCAGAATAAAACTACAGAGGAGAATCAAAGGACATTGTCCTTGGAAATCCAAAAGATCAGAGAGGAAATGGGTGAGTAAAGATGAGTAACAAAATTTGACCAAAAAGGTATTTTTCACAACAGACATTTTGACTACCCATAGTAGGAAAAGCAAAGTGTTACCAGTGACATTATCAATGGTTATATTCAAGTGTCCCAGTATGTTGTGGCAGCGTGTCAATGAGCCAGTATGCAAAATGACCCTGAAACTGAAGCTGCTAAATGAAATTCAGGCATCAGTATTTTATTATTCACATCTGTGAAAATCTACCTGTGATATGTCAAAATGTCTTCTGAGTTTGAAAGGTTGATGGAGCACCCTATCATTCTGCTTTGTTTATTGTTTACTATAATTATATATTATAGTGAATTAACCCTTTTCTATGGTCATAAATTCACAGTAAAACTTTGAATATTCTGCACTCTCTAATAAGATAACAACTATACTTCATCCACAGCATCCAACTCAGCACGATGGGAGAGACTCCACCGGGAAAAGACAGCGCTGGAGGTGGCGTTTGAACGTGAGCTGCAGGAGCTGCAGCGGCAGCAGGAGGCAGAGCTGGCTGCTGTGGAGGAGGGGCTTAGGAAGTGTCACTCAGCGGAGGCAGAGCACCTGAAGGCGGAGCATCTGTCAGAGATGGAGGAGCTGAGGACTCAGCAACAGGAACAGGTGAGAGCCAGGCGTCTGTTTTATGTTTGCTACGATGATTGTTAACATGAAATCTGATCAGTGTGTGTGTGTTTGTGTGTGTGGGTGTGTTAGGTGGAGGAGATGACAGTCAACCACCAGGCAGCCATTCAGGAGCTCAGAGACATGCATAACATCACCATGGCAACATTGCATGAGGAGCATGCCCGTACCATGAGAGGTATGATTTTAGACCTCATTTAAAAAACACAATATGACAATATAACACCACCACTGCTTGAAACAACATCATCTCTCTTTTGTGCTTCTGAATCTGTGTGTAGACTTAAGGAAAGCTCATGAGCAACAGAAGATCCTTCTGGAGGAGGATTTTGAGAAACTCAGGCTTTCTCTACAGGTATGATTCCATTTAAAAAAGATCCTTTTTTTTGTTGATTCACAGAAACATTTACTGATGCATTGTATGTTAATGTGTTTGGATGCTTGTGCAGGATCAAGTGGATACTCTCACATTTCAAAACCAGAGTCTGAGGGACAAAGCCAAACGCTTTGAGGAGGCTTTGAGGAGGAGTACAGATGAACAGATAGTTGTGAGTTTGCCTACTGATACTCTCCAGCAAATAATAACAATGAGTCACTGGAAATATTGTAGATACCCAAACGTATTAATAATAAACAGTAAATATTGAATCAAATCTTTCTAAACCCCATCATCATCGCTCTCTATCTGTCTTTTCGCTTGTTCTTGTCTTTTTGCATGTGAATGTGCGCACATGTGTAACAGGATGCTTTGGCTCCATACCAGCACATTGAGCAAGATCTGAAGAGCTTGAAGGAGGTTGTGGAAATGAAGAACCAGCAGATACACCAGCAAGAGAAGAAGATCTCTGATCTAGAGAAAGTGGTAGGCTCAAATAAGCTAATCACCTCAGCTCAAGCACCACACACACACACACACACACACACACACACAGTGGTCTGGATACACATGATGGTCATGTACGGTGAATGAAATATTGCGCTGTGGTTGTATTCTACTTTTGAGCAGGCTCAAAAGAACGTGTTCCTTGAGGAGAAGGTCCAGGTGCTGCAGCAGCAGAATGAAGATCTGAAGGCTCGTATTCAAATGAACCTCACCCTGTCCAGGTAAGACACATTCAGTCACGATCATCACCATCTTTTTCCTCACTGTGGACACTGATACAGTATGTGATGCTATGTCTTTCCTGCTTCATGCTAAGGTTAGCTTCCTCTGTGCTTGTTTTTTCCCTGCAGGCAACTGTCAGAGGAGAACGCCAATCTCCACGAGTCAGTCGAAAAGGAGAGCACCGAGAAGAAGCGGCTGAGTCGGAACAACGAGGAGCTTCTGTGGCGTCTCCAGACCAGCCCCCTCATGTCCCCCGCCTCCTCCCCGCTGCACCGCTCCTTCTCCACCTCCCCTGCCCCCTCATCCCCATTCTTCTCCTCCTCACCTGTAGCAGGGTGTGACTCCCCCACTCACTGCTACGGCTGCCCCCAGCAGGCTCAGTACTGCTCCCCCTCCCACAGAGCCGCTGCCAATCAGAATATCTCCCCGGGACCAGCCACACCCACTCACAGGGCAGCAAGCAATCAGAATTACTCCCCCGGCCCAGCCACGCCCACACACAGAGTGTCAGCCAATCGCTGTAATTCAGCTGCTTGCATCAGCTCTTTGCAGAGATAAACTCACATATCTCTCTCTCCTCTTTTTCTGAACATTCTCTTTCATTTCCTTCATTCTCTGCTCTCCTCCTTTGCTTTTTGAATGTGAATGGCATTGAGATACAGAGGGCAGTTGCCTCCAGTCATCACAGGACAAGGTGGACAGAAAAAAAAGAGTCTTGAACTTTCTCAAGTCTCTACAGCTGGTGGTGTCCATCATGTGAAACACAACTGATGCAGATGACTGCAGCTCAGTTCTCTGTCCCCAATCCCAACTTGTATAAATATGGAAGTCTTGAAATGTAGACTGTAAATACTGTATGATAGTGACACAAATAGTGTTGACATGTAGTGAAACCTCCCTGCATGGGTAGTCAGGAGTCCCGCACAGATGGAATCAGTACAGATGGAAAGTAGCACACTCTTGTCACCAGAACACAATACTCTGGTGTGTTAAAACACAGTCACATCCTTGATACAATAAGCTATATTCTCTCTCATGGAGATTAGTTTCTCATAGTCAATTCTGTTTTAAAATCAGCTTTCAGCAGAAATGTTTTTCTGTTTCGTTTTTCTTCTGGAAAAATCCCTAACAAAGCGCCTTATACTCAGTCCTGCCGTCTCACCAGCAGAGAACAAGCAACATTTTCTTTCATAAAGGACTTTGGATAAAGAATTGGTTTGTAAAGCAAAGTAAATCCTGTTTTTCAGCCTCCTTAAGGTGTATTTAACATTTTGTAATTAGTTCACTGCTGATAATTTTACTTGTGTGGGACAACCCTACCTGGAAACCCCAGCCATTTTACCAAAATACAGAGAACTTACACGTTCAAACCATGCCAGGTCTTCCTACAGCGTCTCGCCACACAAGCTACTCTTCACTTTTGGGATCCCTCAGGTCAACTTGCAAAAACTACGTCTGCCATTTTGTATTTACCTCAGCGGGAATGTGCAGTCTGTTGTGTTTGTAGCTCAACAGCAATGACAACAACAAAAACAACAACAACATCAACAAAAACACACAGCTACCAGGGAGCTCAGAGCTAAGGGGGGAGACTCGACACATGAATCTCTGTTTTAAATGTTGTGGATTCCTTTAAAACGTGATATCTAATTTATTTGTTACATGTATTTTGCTACTTAAGCAAGCATGTACTGTGAAAGTCTTCCAGTCTTAATGTGAAACTTATTATTGCTGTGATCTGTCTATTTATTAAGCTTGAGGTGTGATAGAAATGAGTGTTTGTAACTTTTAATATCACCTATAGGACACAAGTGGAGTATGTGAAATGAGATATAGTGCATATTTCTCTGACTTGATGTCGTCTCACACACATAGGTGGTGTTCAGGGGACTGTCTTATGATATGATATGGATCTATAAGCTATGTAGGTTAAAAAAAATACAGGTTAACCCTCTGTTTACCGCTTTGTGAATAGTGTCACAAAGATTAGCGTAACCCTGTCTGAACCTGTGTTAACCTCTTCATAACCTCTTCAGATGCTTCTGGTTTGTTTATCTGAATGACACTTTTTATCCTTCGAGTATTATGTTCAGACTTTTGCAGACAACACTGAACTCTTAGTGTGCAAGAATATATTGTTCAGGGAATTATTTTCTAAATTTAGATTTAAAATACTTTCAGTTATAATTTTGTATAGCTTCTCTACAGAACATTATACACTCTCAAGATGTTTCCCGAGATAATTTTCCACTTATATAGAATACGATAGAGAAACCAACCTTTGGTATATAAAAATGAAAATTATTTTATAGCATACAGTACGTCATAGCTGCCTCCTGTGCTGTACTCTACTGACTTACTTACCCTCAGGGTCCTAATCTTTCATCTGGCTTTGAACAAGACGACATAGAAAGCTACAATATCATCGTGTAATCTCAGTGATATACTCGTACGTTAACAAACAAAGCTAAAGCAGTTCGGATTCCACATGAAAATGTGCCACTGTAAATAAGCGAGGTCAGTGAGAAGGGACAAGGGTAAGTCTGTGTTGGCGGCAACATTGCTAATGAGCGCAGGGGTTAGCGTGTAATATTGTTAAGTAGATGCATGGGGTGGGGTCGTGGGGGGGCAGTATCGAGGCCTTGAAATTCCTTGCAGCGCTCCTGGTCGTTCCTTCCATTAATTTACAGGTTGAGTAAATAAAACCTTTTACCAGCATGTAAAGGACGACGTTTCTGGGTTGCCAGTTTTTCAGTAATAGACTTTTAAGTAGATCTTTAATTGCGATACCAGCACTTTTGATGGTCGTGAAAAAAGTAAAAATGATTCTTTCACAGATCTTCACGATTTTTTGTATGATACGTACACAGGGTTAAATGCTCTTAAACAAAAGAATGTCAAGTACAGCATCGGATTTGAGAAATGTATCTCAATTCCCGCTTATTTTATACATACACTGACGATTTTGAGAATGTCTTTGCATAACGATTAATTGTAAGAATTTACCAGTCAGAAAGTCACTGTGTTTTAAAATGTTTAGGATTACAGTTCACCTACGTCATTGAATGATTCTTCAGGGTCCTCCTAAAGGTCACTTCAGGTGCAAAAAATACAGTCTACAAAGATGCAACAAAATCTATTGTTTACAAACGACGTAAAGTTACCGACTTCATCATAAATTAATATTTCACCTTTGAATGGACTATGATTTCTAAACAATGAACTGGTATTGTCATGACCCTTCAATGTGTCCTGTGGACATCTGTGTCTCACTATGCGCTGAATGTCAAAAATGTAATGACTGCATTTTATACAAGTCATTCAATGTGATTTTGTTTAATATAGAAGGACCTCTTGTCTGACCATTATGTAGCAGCCATTTAATATGTAGCACTTGGTTGAGCCTCCCCACAACAAACATGGGTAATTTATCTAATTCATTAGGGATTGAAACGTCCATGTTGATGTTTAAATGCTGTTGTAGCAAATGTTTCCATGGCTAGTCAACTTTGAGCTCTAGAATTTGAATTTGTGGAGGTAAGCTATACAATTACCCCTTATGGATTTGGTCCAGAGACAAAGTTTACTGAATTTGTTTGTTCTGGCACTGATTGTATGTCTGAATGTAAATACATTTACAACATGGGTTGTGTCTTAGTGCACCAGAAAAGTATTAGACGCATGTTTTTTCTGTCTTTGCTGTTTCTTGCTCTCCCTTTCTCTTCTTTTACCTCTCCGCATCTGTGATGGTCAAAATGTAACTGTAGCGTAGGAGGCCTAGAGGATGGAGAATGAGATAGTTCAACATGTAATGTATACAAGGTATGTTGATGCTTTTATTTGTACTTTTTGGGGAGAACACAGTATTAAAAAATATTCAAGAAAAGTCACGTGATGTCCATGTTTCATTTAAAGATAAGTCCTGCTCAGAGGTAGAATGTACCATTTACTCTACTCCTGTAAATTCAAGGTACTTGTACTTTACTTGAGTATTTTTCATTTCATACTACTTTATACTTCAAATCCACAGAGGCAAATATTGCATTGTATTACTTCTTGAGCTAAATAAACTATTTAAAAAGCATCAGAGTATACATGGACAGAACTACCAAATTTTGAAATTACTTGTATTGGCCTTTTTTGACATCAGATATCCTGATTACATCCGTCATATTGCTCTCTATCCATATCCAGCAACAACACTTTGGGTTTCAGAATTCAATTCAACAAAACAGCCGACCTAACACATACAGTTCTATTTATATACACTGAAAATTGATAACTGTTCGATCATTTTTATTTTTAAAACCGTAATAAATCTTAGTACATGTAGACTGAAAATGTTTTTTTTCTTTTTGCCACAGAGGCTGCTTATTGCAAAAATATCCCTCATAGTCCCTCAGAGTTTTTAAGAGAACTGTTCAATAAAAAACATTTAAAAAAACCCATAAACTACTACTATCCCTGACTTCATATAAGGAATTTAAGAGTTTAGACATGAGGTGACAGGAGTTTAGTTTTAACATTCAACATTTAATGTAAAGTACACAACATTACATCATATGATATCACAAATGAGACACTATTCTATTTATAGATATATAACTTTTGTCAAACACATGTAAACTATGCAGACTACTGAATTTAATCTAAGTCACATTGGTTAGCAGGACTGGCCTGATCACAGCTTGACTACATGAACCATAAAGGTGTTTTTATGATCAGTCTGAAAAAATGTTGACCATATATAGCATTATCTTGCATCCTGGCAGATTATTTCACAAGGAGTCACAGAAATGAATCCTGACCCCCACCTGACTCATGTTTTATTTAACTTCAGATGAAAAGCAAACTGAGGCATCACTTCCGCATGAAGTGAGATATGATATCCATGGGAAGGGGGAAGATGATGGTGGAGTTCTTCTCTGCTGCAATGGTGTTGAGGGTCTGCAGGTAGCGAAGCTGCAGAGCTGACGGGGACTCTGCGATCACAAGGGATGCCTCCTTCAGTGCACGGGATGCATTCATCTCGCCCTCAGCTGCAATCACCTATAAGTAATATAAGAGAGGTTAGGATAGTACACTATAACTAGCCTGAAAGTAAGCACAGGAGAACAGTCATTAATAGCAATGCTTGTGTGTGCGCATTGTGCTTGACAGTGGATTGTTATTTAACACTGTATGCATGTACTGTATGTGTTGTGTTACATGTCCTGACCTTGGCTCTGGCCTCTCGTGAAGCCTCTGCTTCAGCAGCCATGGCTCTCTGCAGCTGATGTGGCAGCTTCACATCTTTAATCTCCACACGCTCCACCTTGATGCCCCAGTTGTCTGTGGCTTCATCCAGGTTGGACTGGAAAAGACAGAAAGAGGTTACATTGTCCACAATATTGTAATTTATTCTCCAGTTTCTCTTTTTTTGTGTGAAATGTGCCCTACTTTTAAAGTTTTTTTAAAAAAATCTTTAAATAGGCTTCAGATTCTGTACCTGCATGCTGTGAGCGATGCCCTCACGGTCAGACAAGAGCTCAGACAGGTTCTTAGTTCCCAGGACATTTCTGAGGGTAGTTTGAGCCAGCAGACGGGTGGAGAAGTCAGCATTAGACACGTTGGCCACGGAGGCAATCGGGTCACTGACCCGGAAGTACACCACTCCATCCACAGAAACTGTGACTGAGTCCTTGGTCAGAATCTAGAAAAGAAATACATGACAGTTTGCGTGTGCATGTCCATAGATTTGAATTGAAATCCTTGCCCAATGCTGCAAAAAGAGCATTTTCCCCAGACAGTTTGGGTTGTTCTACCTCTTGTGGTGGGATGTCAAATGAAACTGTACGCAGATCAACTTTCACAAAGGAATCAGTGCATGGCAAAATGAAGAAAATTCCTGTGGACAAACAGAAAAAAATCATAATTCATTTATTTATTTTACCACAATCCAGGATTTATTTTAAGTAAAAAAAACATGAACATTGAAGTGTGTTTACCTGGTCCTTTCGCCTTCCTGTCTGTAATACGGCCCAGTCTGAAGATGACGGCGCGCTCATACTCCTGAACAATCTGCAATACGAGCAGGAAGACCACAGCGCAAGCTCAGTTCACATTCAAATGTGAGTCAAAGGACTCGGTTTCTGTGCTGATTTATTCACTCACCTTGAGACAAAACCAGATAGTGATGGGGAAGAGGAGAGTTGTGAAGAGGCCAGAGATTATGACTATGACCCAACCAATGCATCCCAAAGACCCTGTCCGTTCAGCTAGAGAGAGAGAGACGGAGAGAGATAAGAGTGTATTTGACCACATATAGCCCATTTGAAGTAGAGAGGAAAGCCTCCTTGTTAAAGAAAAGTTAGAGATGTGAAACGTTTTGCATTGAGAAGAAACCATCCAGTGGGGCTCATTTCTGAATCATAACATAACATCATTTATAATTCTTTTTAATAGATTGCACCTCTGTTTCGCAGCTTAGATCTAACAGAAACTCACTGTTTACACACAAAGACTCTCTTACACGCAGTGCAAACAGTAAAATATTTACTCATGCAACATGATCTCTGGAGTACCACTACAGCAATAAAAGAAAGTCATTAAGTGAGAGTAGGGTCTGCATGTCATGCCGTGTCATATTTTCCAGCTCTAATTGCTGTATTGCAGCCTTTATCTGTGCAAGATAGCCAATACATTGAGCCCCATGCTGCATTACTGTCAGAGAACAATAAGTATATTATCAAAAAGGCTGACTTCCTGGCCATTGTCCTGCTTTGATTATAATTTCCTTTGTCTTGGTATCATTAAAAAAAAAACCCCATTGTTTTCTCTTTCTAGGTCAAACCACAGGAAATGCAGTTTCCTGTTGTTGAAATAAAGGAACGTTTACTGTTTAAAAAAAACGTAAAGTAGCATTATTGCGCATTTCACAATGTTTGAAATTCACTTGCACTGTTTGTCATGATTTATGACATTTATATGTTGGTTAAGAGTTTATGAGGATTGTTACGATATAATCATAGCCTACACTGTCCCAATACTTATTATATCTGTATTTTCTTTTTTAATACTATATATAATATAAATTTTGGACCAAAATTTGGTTCGTTTGGAAGGAAGAACTTCACAGAGGCATTTTAAGAAACAAATTCATTAATTCTTCATAATCTGTGCATCCAAGTTATGTTTTATTGACTTAAAATACTGTGGATGCATGTAAATGATGAGTACACAGTGAGATCCTGTTCAACAGGTTGGCCACCTGGAAAACGATTATGCTGCAGACCCACTGATATGAAAACAAGCCATTATCTGCAACCAAATTAAGGAGTATTCACACAAGACAAATCCAACTGTGTAACAGGACAGTTCCCATAACATTCCCTAGTTCACCTGACTTCACTGAGCATGAATACTGACACACACACACACACACACACACACACACACACACACACACACGAAGGGAGTAACACACAAACATTCAGTCACATGCCTGTGGGACTCTTTATCTCAGTGACATGTGATTTCTGTCTCCATGACAATGGAGTTCTACTTTGCCCCGGCCTCTGTGGCTGCTTTCCACCTGCACAGGTGAGCTCTGTTGTATACATGGCATATATAACACACTCCTGCCTACACAACTGATAATGTAATGCCAGTGTACATTCAACATGGAACTCAAGGAAGAGTAAACAACACTGTTGATTTAAGCCTTAAGCCATGCCAGGTGTTACGGTCAATAATCAGAGACTTCTTGTTAATATTTTACTTTTTTTAAAAACGCATTAAAGCTCAGAAGAAAAGACAGTAAAGGAAATGTAGTTTATCTTACATATTAAATCATCTTGGCTCATTCCTCTTCTCTTCTGGCTCTCCATCTGGTTCTCCATTTCCATGGGCTGGTTACAACTGAGAGGGGAAGTGTGTTGAGAGTTTGTTGAAGTGAGTCTAATGAGGAGGGAGTCACCCAGCCTTTTAAAGCTGCAATGCTACAATGTAATGCAGCTCAGAGGTGGTGTAGGTGTGGCGAGTTGATCATAAACAAAGTACTTTTATTATTATCAACACGTAACCCAAAACACTAGTAATATAATTTTAATTGCATTTATTTATTTTTTTTAAATCATACACTAGCATTAATGGATTCCAGTTTAACATTAAATAAAAATGTATCGGTGGTAATTCTTGAGGAAGTTGCATAATAAACGTTCCCTCACTTCCTACTACAACATTTTAAATGCTTATATTTGTGGGTATCTTCACAGGAGCTTATTTTACTCTTTACTTTTTTTCATACCCTTTGTGTAAGGAACCTATCATGGTTATCAGTGTTTTATGATGTCTGCAGAACTGAGTCAAATGTAATACTTTACATAACATATGTAAAGACCATAGAAGGAACAAAAGAAAAGAAAGAACAGATACTTGAAATTCAACATTCTTTTTTTTCTCTTTACTTTTATGGCTTTCAGAGAAGCCATCATGTGCTGATTGTGATGAACAAAATGTATTATACCCCAAACTGCTCCTGATGCTGTTCCATCAGTGTGTGAGTGTGTGTGAATGTGACATAGTTTATGGCTCTTTGAGTAGTTGGAAGACTAAACTCATTCTTAACATTACTTACCAAAATTATAGAAATTGGCTTTGGGAAAGACGTGACCAATTCTGCTGACTAAATGTGCCTTGAAATTAAATTTGCCGCATTGTAAGATTTTTACTTATTACTTACACTTTGTTTATACGCATTATCAGTAAAACATTCAGCGTATTGGATGCATTTGTTTGGTTTAGCAGAAAATAGTAATCAAAGAATGACTTGATAGGAAAAATGGAAAACGGAAATTGTTCTTTATATGAGATACCATAACTGGGCGTTGGAAGTATCATGACTAATTGACACATGACTGTGTATTTTGCAACATTATCATTACTCATGATAAGCATTGTGACTGTAAAACCGTATGGTGACCACAGCCTTCAGTACAGATTTGATTATCTGGTCACATTTTAGACTGTCATTTGTAATAATTAACTATCCTCATTTATCTTTTTTTTTGACCATGAACCTTTACTTTTCTTTGCTGATACAATAAAGTATCTCAATGAGAAGACTGTTAGGCCACTTTTGATCTTGACATATTTTCCCCAAGTCACATACAATACAGCCCTGCCTTGTAATGACAATAAAATAACCTTGCATCTTTGACACAGGTTATGATTGTTACACCTTTTTACACCCTTCAACTATTTTTAATTGTGAGTGAGTAAAATTAATTTCCATGCATTGTTTCCAGCCATGGCATCAGAAAGAATAGAGATAGAGTTACAGCAACCAGCAGTTTACTGACAAAATAATAAAACAGCTGCAAATACAAAAAAGGGGCAAAAATGACGAAAACAACACAGTGTAACAACGAGTCTATTACTTCCTAAACAATAATGTAAATCTTTCTGAGTGTACTGAGGTGTACAGTAAATGAAGTAAAACTACAGTTTTCACTATGTTGCTAAGCCTTACTGAAGAAAACAGACATTTTACAGTCCACATATCAAATCAACAAATGCTTCATGTTGTTCTCAGCAACATCTGCATACAGTATGTTTGGTCGAATACGGTAATAACGGTACAAGCAGGGTGACATCTGTCAAAAAGAGCTTTGTAAACATACAAAATGTAAACTGCTGACAGCCACAAGTGTGCATTCACTGAAAATAACACAAACAGGAGCAGAACTGCCGTATGCAAGTTTATGTGTACAACACTCCAACCCTTGACGCAGCACAAGGATTCAAAATATTCATGGTGTGCCTGCTTAAAAATATTTCATGTCATAATACAATATTCAATTCAAGACAATCAATCAGTATCATAAGCATGCCCTTTCCAGAGACTGGACATGAAATACTACATGAGGATACCGTCAAGTCATTACATGATATCATGTACATTTTTAAAATTTTCTATAATTCATTATTTACTAATAAATGTTGATAAACTTGATTAAAAACAGCCAAGTCCAGCTAACATTAAAACCAGTCACAGTCTACTTGTAAAATCTAACAACTTTGACAACTGATATTTACAACTGTTCACTATGAATAATATAAGCCATCCACCATTTCCGCCCCCCCCACACACACACTATTTCAACTGTTTTTACAATAGTGTTCCTCCTAACTTGGCTGTATCATACACATTACTGAATCTCTGCAATCAGCCCTGTGCTCCTCGGGGTTCAAGGCAAAAAGTGAAATGTGTTTACTGCTGAGGGGTAGGGTATTATAGGTGTCGGCATATGCGTTCTCTGTGTTTCAATGTGTTTCCAAGTGTTATGTGGGGTTTCACTGCCAACCCAACTGGGGGTGCAGGCCTGGTTGGAGGGGGAAGGGGTTTCCGGGGCCTGGAGCGTAGTTGGTGAAGCTGTTGGGCTGAGGAGGAAAGTTCTCCAAAGCAGATGAGGGATGAGCCTGGAATAAGAGAAAGAGGAGCAGTGTTTTTGAGGCTTTATCAAACTGACATTTAATTATTTTTACTTTGTCTGTGTGTGTCTGTGTGTGTGTGTGTGTGTGTGTGTGTGTGTGTGTGTGTGTGTGTGTCTACCTGCAGCAGAGCAGACTGCATGGTTGGGTTGTGTAGGCCTCCAAGCGCCGCAGGGGAGGCTGAGGGAGAGAAGCCTGGTACCCCAGGGAAGGACAGCAAGCTGGGGAACGCGCTGCCTCCTGGGCCCTGAAGTCCACTGCTCAACCTGTAACAGAATAACTACTGTCAGACTACAGACAACGTTATCTTCATGATAATACTATACTGTTCCCCATCACTACGTATCCTACTGGCTTTTACAACAAAATGCTACTAACAGTCCTTACAGATTTTGTTTTTGAATGCAGTGAAGTATTACTCTGATCAAGGAACATAGTAGGCGACTATGGGACTCTTAATAACTATTGTTTCTGTTGTTCTTTAAAGGAATTGTTCAACATTTGGGGAAATACGCGTGACAGAAAGTGAGTTGAAAAGCTCGATGTCACTCTCGTATTTGTCCATTTAAAAACAATGCTCGAGTTGGCATGCTGTTTGTCTAGCTTAGCATAAAAACTAAAAACAGCTAGCCTGGCTCGGTCCAGCGGAAACCTACCAACACCTGTAAAGCTCACTAATTTATAAGTTATATTTTGTTTATTTAATATGCATTTAATTCCCCATGTATAAACATTAAAAGTATAACTTGCTTCCTCATTTAATAGCTCTTGCAAGGATATAACCTGCCTCAAGTGCATTAAATGTCAATAGAAGGTGGGCCTTGTGCTTGCAAAACTTGTTCACTGACAAGATAGCATGTCAAATATATGGCTGACATTTATCACCAAGTAGAGCTGAACACAAAGCACAAAGTCTAGGCCTGAAACTCCAGAGCAGGACTAAGAGGGGACTTTGCACTTTGTTGGTGCAATGTTTCCACTTAGCACATAAAAACCAAAGTGGAAAATTGATAGACGTGATTTATGATGCCATTTTCAGGGGAATGGGAATAAATGTCAAGGTCTAATTACCCCATACCCAATTCTTTATAAAATACTGTGCTTACCAGAATTGAAATAGAACATTCAAATTAATTTACTGCTATGGTCTTTTCATGTAGACATACAGTAAATAATATTAGAAAATCGATATATAATCATTAGGTTTATTTTAGAGTATCCATATGACATGGCTTCTTTATAATGAGCAGTCGAAATATTAAGAGTTCACATACCCAGGCTGGAAGTTGGAGCTGAAGGCAGATGCAAAGCCTGGTAAAACTGGCGATGATGATGGAACTCCAGCTGCAGCTGCAGCTGCTGCTGCTGCGGCTGCCTGCAGTGGTGCCACCGACGCTACTGACGATGGAGTGGCCCCTGGCAGACCCATGAATGAAGACAACACAGGGCTCCCAGCACCGTGCCCTCCTGAAACTCCCAATCCCGGGAAGGCACCGGGGCTATGACCTGGCTGAAGGCCTGAGAATATAGAGGAGGCAGAGGTGAGGCCCAGACCGAAAGGGGAGGCTGCACTGACGGCAGCATTGGGAGCCAGGCCTTGGTAGATGGAGGTTTGTGGATGGTTAGAAATGTTGCTGGTAGGAGGCATTGCGGGCATGGATGCAGGCATTGTGGAAGGAGGGAGAGAGGAAGAAAGGGAGGAAAAGGGGGACAGACCAGGATAATGAGAGGGTGCTGGGCTAGAGGACAGAGCTTGGAGGCCAGGGATTCCAACAGGACTAGAGAGAGAGACTTGAGGAGAACCTGAGGGGTGTGCCAGGGCGAAGGAACGTGCCAGAGCAGCCTGGGCAGACCCCGGCACCACCAGAGAGCTAACAGACGGTGTTCCAGAGCGGGAGGTGCCCTTAAAGGCAGAGGGCACAGGGCTGTTACTGCCACTGTTACAACCCCCAGTGTGTCTGTTCAGGACTCCAGCTGCGGCCATGGCGGCCTGAACCTGCGCAGAATGAACTGGGGAGGGTTTGGGACTGAGACCTGGGGTGGAACAGCTCGGAATAACTGGAGTGGATGATCCAGGAGTGAGACATGGTGGTCCAGATGGGGTGTAACTTCGGATCACTGACCCAGGGGGGTTACCTGCTTGTGGGTGTATGCCAGGGTGGGTGTGTCCTGACTGGTGGTCTGTGGAAAAAACCTTCTGCTGAATTGGGCCCATGGAGGTCGTGGTCTGACTTAAGTTGTCTGTGATGCCGCGGGAGGTAGCAGGGGTGCCTGGTCGGGAAACGACATGGAAGGGGGAAGAGGAGAAGCTACCTGGGACAGGAGTTCCACAAGGAGTGCCTGAAGGGGTGTGGGCTTTAATGACAGATGAGGGTGTAGGTGTAGCATGGCCACTGGGGGTGTGTGGACCTGCTTTGATCACAGAGGGGGATGGAGCAGGGGATGGAGAGGGGGCATTGGGGTTGTGAGAGGGCACCATGCCGGGGAAAACCGGTGTGATAGGGGTTGTGGGAGTC